ATGCTTCTTATTCTTTTTTTTTATTAACTAATTTAAACGTGATAATATTAAGGCCTCTTAGTTACTAAAACAGGTCATCACACTGTTACTTTTATTTAAATGATTTGCTATTTATTTATTTTTTATTTATTTTGTCTATAAGAAAGCGATTTCTTCACTATCTGAGCTTTAATATTTCAAATGGCCAATTAGTCAAGATCCACGAGACAATTGAAGACATGAGTAGGTTATGTTGCCTGAAATTATTGTTTGTAATACAAACTTGCTAAAAAATAACAATGTTTTGAGGTTAATTACAATCAGTGCATTAATTTTTTAAGATTGTATTTAATAATTAAAAAATAACCTTAATTTAATATACATTTTTTTTGCAGGTTATGACAAAATTTTTTTATCTTCCTAAATTTAGTTTATTTTTATATAGCGAAAAATTAGTAACTAATTTTTGATTTTTTTTTTTTAATTAAATTACAATCAAAAAAAATTTATCAAAAATTGCACTTATAGTTTTTCAAGTTTTTAACATATATTTTTTTTTTAATTGTTTAATTGAAATTTTTTCGATAAAAAATTTATAAAAATTTTGAAATGTTAGCTAACTTCATTTTCATAGTAACTAACCTAAAATTTATATAAATTTTTTAAATATTCTTTATTTTAATTCAGAGTTTAAAAATCAGAATTTATTTTATACATTGTACATAAAATTGTTCTGAAGCTAATTAATATTTGAACTAACCTCAATAATAGTATACTCGCTTACCATAAACTCAACTATTCTATTGCGCATGCGCGGAACAGCGCTGAAGCCTGCGCAGAAGAAGAAAGCATCATTGTTTCAAAGGTTTGTTTACAATAAATATTTTTGGTAGTTATTTAAAAATAGAGTCAGCCCCATTTTAGGCCATAATTAAGTGAAAAATTAATTCTGCTTATTTTTAAGGCGCATTTATGATAAAAAATATGGTGAAAAAAAAAAAAAATAAAGATTTCGAATGAAAATTAAGTTAGCCGACATCTCAAAAATTTTTATAATTTATTTTATTGAAAAATTATTTAAAAAAAAATTAAAAGAAAAAATTTCACACACAGAAATTTTGAAAAATTACACGTGCAATTTTTTAAAAATATTATTTTAGTCTCAATTTAATTAATAAAAAAAAATGAAAAATTATTGAATTTCGGCTAACTTTAATATCATAGATTTCGATGGTTTTTTTGCGTTCAAAAGTTGGAAAAAATTTTGACTCTTATGTTTTTGAATAAAATTTCTATTTTATCATTTTTTGATATTTTTTTTTTTTTTTTTTTGATAAGTACATAAAAAAACGAACAATTAAAAAAAAAAATTGGACATCACAATTTTTTAAAAAATTTGTTAAAATTGTGATAATTGACTTTTTTTTTAATTGTTCATTTTTTTTTTTTTTTTAAATATATATCAATAAAATTAAATATAAATTTCGTTCAAATAAATAAATATTAAAATGGTTGACTCCACTTGTAAATATTTACCATATTTTTATGTACCAAGTAATTAAAAATTAATAATGATTTTTTCTCTGAATTAAAAAAATATAATTTAAGTCAATCACTAATTTTGAATTATAAAATATTTAACCGGAAAATTGTACTTATAAGGTAGCTTAAATCCACTCAAGTCTTCAATTTTAATAAAAGGAAGTAAAGTTTATTGGAAGATAATTATAGAGAGTAGAATTAATAATTCAAACAAGCAGAATTATTTATTTTTTTTTTAATTGTTTAATTGAAATTTTTTCGATAAAAAATTTATAAAAATTTTGAAATGTTAGCTAACTTCATTTTCATAGTAACTAACCTAAAATTTATATAAATTTTTTAAATATTCTTTATTTTAATTCAGAGTTTAAAAATCAGAATTTATTTTATACATTGTACATAAAATTGTTCTGAAGCTAATTAATATTTGAACTAACCTCAATAATAGTATACTCGCTTACCATAAACTCAACTATTCTATTGCGCATGCGCGGAACAGCGCTGAAGCCTGCGCAGAAGAAGAAAGCATCATTGTTTCAAAGGTTTGTTTACAATAAATATTTTTGGTAGTTATTTAAAAATAGAGTCAGCCCCATTTTAGGCCATAATTAAGTGAAAAATTAATTCTGCTTATTTTTAAGGCGCATTTATGATAAAAAATATGGTGAAAAAAAAAAAAAAAAAAAAGATTTCGAATGAAAATTAAGTTAGCCGACATCTCAAAAATTTTTATAATTTATTTTATTGAAAAATTATTTAAAAAAAAATTAAAAGAAAAAATTTCACACACAGAAATTTTGAAAAATTACACGTGCAATTTTTTAAAAATATTATTTTAGTCTCAATTTAATTAATAAAAAAAAATGAAAAATTATTGAATTTCGGCTAACTTTAATATCATAGATTTCGATGGTTTTTTTGCGTTCAAAAGTTGGAAAAAATTTTGACTCTTATGTTTTTGAATAAAATTTCTATTTTATCATTTTTTGATATTTTTTTTTTTTTTTTTGATAAGTACATAAAAAAACGAACAATTAAAAAAAAAAATTGGACATCACAATTTTTTAAAAAATTTGTTAAAATTGTGATAATTGACTTTTTTTTTAATTGTTCATTTTTTTTTTTTTTTAAATATATATCAATAAAATTAAATATAAATTTCGTTCAAATAAATAAATATTAAAATGGTTGACTCCACTTGTAAATATTTACCATATTTTTATGTACCAAGTAATTAAAAATTAATAATGATTTTTTCTCTGAATTAAAAAAATATAATTTAAGTCAATCACTAATTTTGAATTATAAAATATTTAACCGGAAAATTGTACTTATAAGGTAGCTTAAATCCACTCAAGTCTTCAATTTTAATAAAAGGAAGTAAAGTTTATTGGAAGATAATTATAGAGAGTAGAATTAATAATTCAAACAAGCAGAATTATTTATTCGAGCATTTTCTAGCTAAATATGAAACAAAAAAAATTTTTTATCATCTTCACTCATATTTAGCGAGATTAATCCACTCAAAGTAGCCACTTTCTATAATCAAGGCGTTTATAATAACTCTTAATTAATTCCGTTAAATTTATTTCTTCTTGAATGAATTATTTAATCACTACAATAATATTATACCCTATAATTTATAATATATATAATTTAAATATCCCACATAGAGATTTAATTAGTCAATGTGATCAAAACAAATCCGAGGATTTTAAATGAGATCTTATGAGAAATGCTTTAATTATCAGATACAGTAATTATCTGAATACGTGACTTATTTACAGATATAAATTGTCATTAATAATTATCAATTAATTTTAACGATCCTCGTTTTTTAATATATGCAACGAGATTTTTTTTTTTTTTTTTTTTTTTTGTTAATTACTTAATATAGTAATTATAATTATTGTTATTTTAAATATTATAATAGTAATTATAATTATAATTATGAATTGTTTACTCGGCAGCATCCGCTGGCTAAATTGGCAGGACAGTCTAAAACACGCTTCAATAAATCCTTGATAATAAAAATCATTAATCATTACAACGCATGTTTGTCATTACTGGCTACGTAAGAAGTATATACAATTGCAATTACTTGCTTGGGAACTTCCCTTGAGTTACATATTTTTTTTTTTTTTAATTAATATTAATTAATAAATTTGTCTGAGATTTTTACAATATTTTTTTATGAAATAATTTTTTCTTCTTCAGACGCTCAAAATTTTTTTTTAGTCAAGTATTTTATGTACAGTGCGGTGAATTATTTACAGATGATTGACAAGCCGTGAATTATTTATCTTCTCAGACAAATTAATTAATTATTACAATTATAATGAAGGAACACATCTTAATTCAAATTATGTTTCATACTTGATTGTTTACTGGCTTGTCAGCAACCTTAGGCCAGGATCTGTAAATCTCAAGCCAACTTAACCTAAAATCACACTCCGAACGCATTGTCGAGCGTCTTTTACAATCTGGTTAAGACACTCAACACTGAGAACGTATCGCACAAAATCCTATCGCAGTAATTACTTTTAGTATTCTTCTCTAAGTGATTTTTTTTTTTTTTTTTTTTAATTGCATTAGGAATTGCACGTTCCTAACCTGGAAGCATTTTATCATCAGCTTCCTTGAGCGCATTCTTAAAAGTCAAAATGCAATTTTTTTTTCAGGCCCTTTAAATTTTATCCTACAATTTTTAATTAAGGAGATCCAAGTACTCTAGTATGAAAAATATTTATAAAAAAAAATTATACGGAAAAATACTTTTTTTATGCATTTTTAAATTAATTACACGGAAAAAATAAGATGCTACTGGATATCATCCTAGATTATACTGGGTGAAAAAAAATTTCAGATAGTAGCTAGTGTAATCTAGATTACAATAAGTATAATCTGGATTTTTTTAGCTATGTGAAATTTTTTTTCCACTACAGATATCACTGAGTATAATCTGAGATATTCCAGATTATACTGATAATCATTATTATCATGATTATTATTATTATTATTATTATTATTATTATTATTCTATAATAATTTCAATAAAATAATATGAATTTTTCATAACTTTAATATTTTTTTCAGGTCTATTTTTTCCGGGATTCAATCTGGGATGATATCCAGTATCATCTTGTTCTTTCTGTGTAGATTGAACTAACAAATTTTCAGGAAGTTTTAAAAATTTGACTACTTCGCATGAATCTCCTTAATTGAAAATAAATTTCTGGAAAAATGCAACTTTGTTAGACGCGAGGCACTAACGCCCTCTGGAAAATTTTTAACCTTAATTTATCAAAAATTTCTGCTGCCAGAATTAACAAGTCATACTTATTTTTTTGTTTTATTTAATATTTCTTCTTTAATAAAAACTAAACTAAAAGTCGAGGTTAGTTTAATTTAATTTAATAGATAAAAAAATGCATTTTTTTTTCAATGTCAGAAGACTTAAAATAAGTACAACTTCAAACCACCGAGGGCGCTAAGTCTAATTTCTTATTTAATTATAAACAAAACTTTATCGAATGCGCTCTTAACCTTAATTAATAAAATGAATAAAACTAAAATAATTATAGTTAAAAACTCGCCAGCTTTAAATTACGTACGCCTTTAAATAACAATAATAATTATTGTTGACAAATAATGAAGATAAGAAACCTAAGTTAGTGTAAAAACTGGCCTCGTTGTTACAAATTGTCTACTTAGGAATCGAAAATTAGCTACCCTTTTAATTTTTTTAATTCCCCAGTCTTATGTACTCGTTTCTTCTATTTAAACAGAACCAGGTAAGACTACTAATCTGCTTATGCAATAGTTACAGTAATAATTAATAATATTAATTATTATTATTATTATTAAATCAGCTAGTATGAAATAAATCGAAGCTACAAGTACTCGGCAGTCTATTGTCTCTCTTGGCTCTCCTTCATGAACTGATCATGAACGTATTGCGGCTTCTTCCCGTAATAACTTTGTTTTTTTTTTTAAATCTTGGTGCAGCGAAGATGATATAATGATAAACTCTGGTTAAATTGAGTCAAAGGACAGTCTGAGGGTCCTTTTAGGCGGTTTGTTTCTCCGAGAACACTCGAGTTTAATATGCCGACAAGATGGCGGTTCTTATTCCCACTGGTGGGGTGACGGCGGCAGTTCTGAAGGGTGCGCCACTGTTGAACTGAAAAATTTTGATTATATTAATATTTGATATTTAGAAATTTAATTTATTTTAATAAATTGTTGTGGTTATTATTTTATTATTTATAGGCAATGATTATGTTATCATGATTACTCAATAGGATTTTGAGAAACATGTGGTATAGGATAATTGATATAATTGTGGATTAGGGTAACTATGCAGCGTTATGTAATTAAATTAGGTTGATGTTTATTAAAATAATTAATTTTTTAATAAAAAATTAATAAGAACTTTAAAAAAAATTTAAATAAGGTAAAAGCCCCAATTATTGACAGGGGTCTAAATATTGACACCCTAAATAATTTTTGAATATATTTAATCATCTGTAATAAGAATAACTATCATATAAATTTTTATTAAATTCTAATTAATTAAAAAATTGAAAAAAATTACTCAGTTCAAAATATTAAATATTAATTATTAAAAAAAAATAAAAGCACCAGATCAAACCTTACAAGCGTCTATTTTCTTAACAACTTTGGTTAGAAAAGCATTTTTTTTAAATGCCGAGTTTAAATTAATTTCTTCATCTAATTATATGATCTTTTTTTTTTTTTTAATTAACAATATATGAAAAATTTATAAAATTGAATAATCGAAATTAATTGTATGCTTTATAATATTTAAATAATGGGTGTCAATAAC